TGGCACACACTGTCAGTCGGGGCGGAGTAAAATGTTCAAAACAGGCTCTAGCTGAGAATTGTTTAGTAATTCTGGGGGGGAAAAAAGCCTTTTCTAGGATAGCTTCTACCAAGAGTTCATGTGACTTTTCTCAGTAATTAAAAAAAAAAAAAAAAAGAGAGAGAAAAAAGTTAGGGAAAAATTATCTTCCATTACAGAACACATAGTATTCGCTATTTCCAGATTCAAAATTAAAGAATTGGAGACAGATGTTGTGGAGGTGACTCTTGTTACTCATCTACTCATGCCCCTTCTCTCTCATGTTTTCGCTGTAGGAACAGAACTGAACACAAACACATCCCTAATTTTGTTCTTATAGTAAGCATTGGGTGTGCGTAAGACTTACAGATTGATAGTTGAGTTACTTTCCACAGATGGAAAGGGAATTTAGATTTAGTGTGAGACTTTTCTAAAGGGAGTGCTGTCCATGTAAATGTCCACATTTCTTAAAATCTCCTGGGGTTGGAATCTCGGGGTCCATCTGTTCTTTACTTCCTTGTATGGTTCTGTTCTGCAAGGTAGACGAGAGTGGAGAGAGTCTTAATTTCATTTCTTGGCTCATGATAAGTCAGAAATGAGAGGTTATTTGTTTCAGATGTTACATTCAAGTGATGTCAGACAAATATTCAAGAGTGAATAACCTGGCTGAAACATATTGCTGTCTTCATCTGAATTGAAATTTAGATAAAATGAGTACCCCAGAAAACTTAATCGACTTCCAAAATGGAGTACGAGTGTCCACACAGGGAGCTATTCCTCAACATCTATTCCAGGCTATTTCATGGTATAGACAAACCCTGATATAGTCACTGCCAGCTGGCATGTTAGAATGTTTACTTGACTTCTTGACTTTAATTTTAATAAATACATAAATGCATATGACTCTGAGAAAGATTTGCATAGCTTTAAAATCAAACTTACATTTGCAGAACATAATGCAGTAATTATAGCTCTTTTAAACCATTTGTGGTCGGGATTAGTTTCCAAGCAGCTGTTCAGTGGAACGTAAATAGACAGCTCGGGGAAGATTTAATGGGAATCCTTAAGCTTACAGAAATAACTTACATGCACAACTAATTGCATTCAACCTGTATGTAAAATGACCATATCTTAAAAATCAAATTGGGACATTTTTGTGGTGACACTTTTTAAAGTCATGAAATATTTAAACAATAAAAGTACTTTAGGTGTGCTGCGGTCATTACTGCAAGCATCTGACTCAACAGCAACACATCCCACTCTCAGAATGGAGGATTCCCCCCCCAGTAAATTAGTGTTCTGAACTAGCTTTATAAAACACTGAACACGTCTAACACTCATTCTGAGCAAAAAAAAAAATTTTTTTTTGATAAGGTCCATGCTCGTTCAGTTATTTCTTTGCTCCAAATATTTCATAACATCAAATACTCATTCAGCTTAGACTGTTAATTGTAAGCAGAGTAAATTCTGCTCTGAATAGTACATCTAGATGAACATTTTGTGGCTATAAAAAAAGTTGGAAATGAAAAGTTGGAAAATAACAGGTTTACTGAAATGTAAGACATTATATGGGTTTGCAAAATGCACTCCTAGCATTTGTTGTGAAATTTTTTTGCAAAATTTAGTACCTCAGAAATTGCCTTTAGTTGCCCCATATTTTTTAAAAAGGACTAGTGATTGTTGTGTGCCCCAAACTCGTGGGTGTCCAGCTTGAGACTTAAAAGAGCCCTAATTTTCAGAGGGTTAGTGGTCAGCACTTCTGGAAAATTGGCACCCCAAAATCACTTCACTACTTAAAATCTTGGCTCCTATACAGCATTAACAAAATACACATTGTTCACTTTCTTCTCCCAAAAAGCTCTAGTCCAGGGTATGTCAGTGGAGTTTAAAGCTGTGGTTCCTTTTTGCCTCCTCAAATATTTCTATTTAAAGATTTCAACTAATGGCAGGAACATAGCAAGCCTCTCCCACAGTTTCACGTGAAATACTAGAGATTAAGGTATAGTGATGCTGCTCCAGTGTGCTAAAGAGCCACTAGATATAGCTAGTAAATGACACCACTTGTAATCAGTTCACTAGAAAATTACCCCCTTTCTAGGAAAATAATTACATGTAATCCACTTGAACACATAATAGGGATCTGTGTTAACAAAGAACAGTGAAACTGGATATTGAAGTTGCATCAGGCCAGTGCATTAAATATTATCAAGCCAAAATGAAGGCTTGGGCTTAGCTGACCTGGCTTTTTAACAAGCATTGCTTTGCTGTTCACAAAAAATGATGTGTCTTATGACAACTCAATGTTTGTGTGTATATAAACAATGTTGTATAAGGTATTAAGGTGGTTTAAAAGGTGTAAATAATTATATAATACTAAAATTATGCAATTGGAGGGGAAGATGCCCTACATTTCCCTTTATGGGTTAAAAAATGGGTTACTTTAACTTAATTTAGACAGCATGTGGTAGGATTGTGATGCTTTGGGGGTTCACCCAGACTGGTAAGGGGTTCTGTCACCGCCTGTTATGCTATACAAAGCACACGAGATCTTTTATGGGGAGAAGGCTAAAGCACTGCATTTATTGAGAATACAGCAGTTAGCATATGCTTTTCAGTTACACACACCATGCACACAGTCCTGCCAGTTGATGTTTATAGTTACCAGTCCAGAGTCTGGATCAATCTAGTGGCCAACCAGATTGGTTGCAGAGGGGAGCCGGGCTCTGTCAGTCGCGATCCGATGCTCTTGGAGTGTGACAAGACAAACCCAAAGTCCCATGGCCAAGCACCCTGTTCTTATAGTCTTTTTTTCCTCTGTTGAAGTCTATGGATTTTGCTGTGTCAGTTTCTGACCGGTTACTTCTTAATTGGTTTTATCTTTTGATGTTAACATTCCAAAACACCTCGAAGAGGGTCATCCTGTCCTGGTTTTGATTTAATCAATTATCTTGTCTTTAGGGGTGCCAGCCTTCCCCTCAGGGTCGTCAATCTACCCTTCCTTAATTATGGATATGCATTGATGGTTCTCTAGTGTTGTTAAGTCTCTTCACTCCTTCTTCCGTGACCATTTGGTGATAACAATGGCCTTCACACCTTATCTTTTCCTGATGCATGCATTCCTCATTCACACAGTCTTTGACAGAGACCTTTGAGAATACAAACAGCCGCATTTTATATTGAGCAAAAGACATAATAAATTAAGACTTCCTAAATCTTATAATCAAAACAATTCACTTTGGGGCCCAGGCCTTCAATGTTCCTCAAAACTCCTTAACATAGACACAATACAAGATCCTGTCTCTTACTTACTAAACTTTAAAACAAAGAAATGTATATTTAACTAGTGTGCCTACTTTGTAATACATATAGGAAACCATAGTAGACTTTTACTAAAAATATCTGGGACAAAATGGGGATCTGTGGGTCCCCCCCCCACTGCCTGAACCCGGCAGTTGCACAGGGGCTAGGGGTACCTCTGCCACCTCCAGCTCTGGGGATACCCACGGGCTCCCGTGAGGGCTGGGAAATGCGGGGGTTCCTCCACTACCCCGAGCTTGGGGGTTCCCCAACCGCCCACAGGGGCAGGGAGCTGCAGAGTAGAGGCTTGGAGCTCTGGGGACCACCACAGGTGGCGGGGGTACTCTGCAGTTCCCTGCCCCTGTGGGCGGTTGGGGAACCCCCAAGCTCGGGGTAGCGGAGGAACCCCCGCATTTCCCAGCCCTCGCGGGAGCCCGTGGATTCCGTGACCTCCATGACTAAATCGTAGCCTTAATCATTAACAACATTGCATTATGTATGTACAGTTATATAAGTGTGCTGGAAATATGTTCCTTAAATATGGTCAGACTAAGCTAGGGTGACCAGATGTCCCGATTTTATAGAGACAGTCCCCATTTTGGGGGCTTTTTCTTATATAGGCACCTATTATCCCTCACCCCTGTCCCAATTTTTTACACTTGCTGTCTGGTCACCCTAGACTGAGCACTCCAAGTATAGCGTATAAACAGGTTTGTCCTAAACGAAGAAATGTGGATTCACCAGTCTACCAGGTCAAACTTTGTAAGCCAGAGACAATGAAAATACATTGCACATGAGCATGGGAGAATTTTATCTGGTGATACACTTCAAAAGAATACATTTGAAAGGTTTATTGGACTATTAAAGTGAAGAGAACCCCTGAGTTATCCATCACTTAAGGGACAAGAGGCCAGCGCTCTTGGAATCTGTGTAAACGTAGATCCTTCAGCCAGGGTGGGGTAAGGATGCTGAAAACTGGTTGTAGACGAGAAACTGCCTGAGACCAGGATTGTAAATTGCTACGTTTTAGATACTGGAAAGCATATTTTTACTTTTGTTTTGTTTGTAATCTTTTTCTCTTAGTTAGTATTACTTAATGTATGATGCTGTGAGCTAGTGAGGAAATATCTCTCTCTGCCCTATCTTATTTGTAATTCAGAATAACCAACTTACTATCCATATCTTGTTTTCAGTGAGGTCAAGGATATTTCAAAGTTTTGGGGAGAAATGGCTTTGTGTACAGGTCATTGCGGGCTGGCATACCATATGAACTGCTGTACTGGAACAGACCAATTCTCCATCAAATCTAGTATTCTGTCTCTGACAGTGTCTTGTACTAGATGTGTTCTAGGAAAGCACCTTGTATGTTTTCTTGCATTTTTATAGAATAACTTGTCCATTAGGGCAGTATATTTCTTCCTAAGTTTATGTGGTTGGCTTATTTTATGATACAGGTTTGTATCACTTCATTAATGCTCTGCGGAGTTCAAAGAAAATGAAACAGAACTAAATGTGGTATTGTTTTTGGCATTTTGAAAGCATAGGATTTGTCCTACTGGATTTGATCACTGGTCCAGCACTGGCCAGTGCTGCAGGCCAGGGGGAAAAGAAACCTTATAATTCATGCACACAACAGATCATCTCCAGCACTGACTGTATCTAACACGTGGCTTTGTCTTTTCCAGACAGCGCAGACAGTGCTACTCGTGGTTGCTGTATTCTTGATTTCCTGGCTGCCGCACCACATCATCACCATGTGGGCAGAGTTTGGTCAGTTTCCCCTGAACAACATCTCCTTCACTTTTCGCATCATCTCTCACTGCTTAGCCTACGGGAACTCTTGCATTAACCCCATCATCTATGCTTTCCTCTCGGAGAACTTCCGCAAAGCCTGCCGGCAAGTCTTCACCTGCAAGTTCCTCCTGCAGCCAGCTCCGGCTGAGAAGCTTGTGAGAATACGCATGGAGAACTTTTCTACCACCCACTCAACGACTAATGTGTGACCTGGGCATAAAAAATGAAAATACATTTCAGTAGAATCTACTGGAAAAACAGAAGATGGGGAGAGTAAGGGGGGCCCCACTTGTATAGATATGATTATGGAGCAGAGTGCCTCAAGAGTGACTCATTCATCATGTCAATGGAATCATGAGCCATTCCTTAATGCAGCTGTTAGCATACTTCACACAGGAACAGCTGGTCCAGTTGTAGCCTGCTAACCACTAGATTCTATACAGCAGCGGTGCTCAGACACACCACACAAGCTCCTAAATACTTCCAGATTCACACAAAGAGGCTGAGGCATAAGTTTAGATGGAAGGTGGAGTTTTATCTGATAAGAAAATAATCCAGTTCTGTGTCCTTCAAAGAGCAGTCAAACTGATGGGGCTGAATACAAACCGGGGTATGGTTTATTTTGGAGCGATTGCTTGAAGTAGTTAGGAAAATGTCTTGTTGCAAAGTCTCTAATGTTACTGTTGTATCTTAAATCACATCTGGATGTCAGTGTTTCTAGTGTATGTGAACTGGATTTATTTTTAATTAATTTGCTGTGATTGGGTCTCCATTCTTCATGACAGGTTTTCCTAGCCCTCTTTGCCAGAGTAAAAGAGCTCAGTGCATTCATGTAACTGACCAAAGTCACAAATTATGTCTCAGAGGTCTGAGCATTTGTATTTGTCTGCTTCTTATCGCCCTGTATAGTTCCTGGCTTGAATGTTAGTACCAGTTACATTCAGGAGAACATTATCAATCATTGTCTCTAATGCTGGTTTGTTTAGTACCAGCGAGGGGGAGAGCGCAAAATTTAAAACTAAAAGTCTTAAAAGAGTATATTGTTAAGTGTCAGTGTCTTTCTGTTCAAAGGTATTGTTTACACAAGGTTTTGTTTGTACACATACTGTGAGCATGCCTTGCCAAAGCATCAACTGTATCGTAGCAACCATCGTTCTGAGGCCTTTGAACTGAGCATTATTGCTGTATAAACCTGGTGTTTGTAAATATATAAAGTGCCATGCTAGTTCATTTTTTACATTGTGTGGCTGAAAATTTTATTTTTTTCATTGTTATGTAATTTGAAAACTATTACATTAAACGTTGTGACCTGCAATTCAGATTGAGCTGTGTTGAAATGACCCAAGAGAAGGGTATTCTGCTCAAGGGACTTGCAATGTTTCATGAAAAGGATTTTATTTTAACAACTACCTTTATTAAGGTTTCATGTATGATTTTCAAAGGGTTAATAAATGGTTTATTTATTAACCTATGTGCCAAACAGGTTGCTTATAACCACCTATAAAAGCTTCTACTGCTATAATCATAACATATACTAATGTCTGTAATATGGTTATAATACCTGTCAATCACTTAACCCTTTACAGTTTATACCTTAATATGGGAGCAAAACATCCTTCATAAATTTACTGGGATCTTAAGACCACACCAAAAAACTAAGGCTCTCTTCACTTTCCCTCATCATAACCTGAGGGCAGAATTATCTTCTCTGATCCACCAAGTGGATACCTTATTACACTTCTTCGCTCATTTCCTTTGAAGAACTCTTGATATCAAGGAAATGTGTGTAATGAGGAAAAAAGAGCATTATCTAGTAGTTCCAGCATGGGACTGGAAGTCAAGAGTCAAAACTCATGTAAACTGAGAGTCAGGGTAGCTCAATTTCCCCTGTAACAATGGGGATGCTACCATATATACCTCCATAGTGCCTGGTGGGAGCTTAAACTGGTTAATTTCAAGAGCCTTAGCTAATATACAAGATGTTCTATACACAACCAAGATTTGCAACAGTGAAGAATGATGAATTTTGTCCTGAGAACTTAATTCCACAATGAGAAGTTTAGTCCATTGTGTGCAATACCTACATAATGGGAAGAAGATTCAAACTCTGGTATCACAAATCCAAAACAAAAGCCTTTACTAAAAGTAAAAAGTCTGCTCCATCTGCTCAGCTGGTAAACATAGCCATTAAACCTAAGGGGGACAACACATTCCATTAGACTGGTGCCAACTGAATATATAGGCTAATGAAGTAAGCTGCTACAATATAGCTTTGTCCCTTGTCTTGTATTACATCGAAGACATTTAGATACTACATGAATTTCAGAATATGGCTCCCTTTCTCAGTGAACATCTGACAATAGACTGTAATAGAGAATCAGGTACTAATTAAGCGTTTTGCCTTCAGAGACATGTAATTGTCCAAGCAAATAAATATACAGCCTCCCTCTTTAGCATCAGACATTCTAATGCTGATGGTACATCGGTCCTGTAGAACAGGACTTGTAATCTTTTAATGGAGCACAAAGCACTGGAAACAGGAATCTGAAAAGGAGAAGTTTGAAACCAAATAATAGAATCTAAGGCCAGAAGGGACCTCCAGATCATCTAATCTGATCTCCCGTGTATCAGAAACCACCAACACCTTCTAGCATCTGCACACCGAGCCAGCAACAAAAATTAGACCAAGTTAATTACACCCCCAAGAAGACTAAACTATTATGTACCACAGGCAGAGAATAGGACCGAGGAGCACCAATGCTGGAGGCATTGCAGTAACAAGGGATTAAATGAGATATACTCAGATGATCCTGACAAGCAACCCGCACACCAACCTGTAGAAGAAGGTGAAAACGCCCCACAGGTCACTGCCAATCTCATCTGAAGGAAAATTACTTCCCGACTTCACATATGACGATCAATTAGATCTTGAGCATGCAAGCAAGAACCAGTCAGCTAAGCACCTGAGAGTGTGAATGCTCACTACCACCTCAGCACACCAGCCCACCCCATCTAGAGTCCCGCTGCCAGCTGTGGCCATCTGATGCGTCAGAGAATGGAGATAACTCCAGCATGTACGTGACTGGCTGAAGCCCTGAAGCATGAGATTTTAGGATCAGACATAAACCAGAAGGAACCCTCAGGGCTGCCTCCCACCATCACACAATCCCACTCATAAATTTGTCCAGCTCTCTCAAAACTAGTTAAGTTGTTTGCCCCCACAGCTCCTCTGAGGAGGCTACTCCAGAATCTCACTCTTCTGATGGTTAGAAACCTTCTAATTTCCAGCCTGAATTTGTTCATGACCAGTTTATACCTATTTGTTCTTGTGCCAACGTTGTCATTTAGCTTAAAAAGTTCTTCACTGTCTCTGAGGTTTATCCCCCAATGTATTTATAGAGACCAATTATATCCCCTCTCAGCCTTCTTTTTGCTAGACTAAAGAAGCCATGCTCTTTCCAGTCTCCTCTTATAAGACAGGCCTTCCATTCCCCTGAACATAAGTAGCCCTTCTCTGCACTTGTTCCAGTTTGAATTCATGTTTCTTGAACATGTGTGACCAGAATTGTACACAGTATTCCAAATGAGGTCTTACCAGTACCTTATACAACAGCATTAAGACTTTCCTATCTTTACTAGAAATGCCTTGCATGATACATCCTAGGATCACATTTGCCTATTAAGTTGCATCCCATTTCTGTTACTCCAGTCTTCTAGGTCATCCAGTTCCTCCTGTACAATATTCTGATTCTCTTCTGTATTGACAATGCCTCAGCTCACTCCTACTTTTTGTACCAAGATCACTAATGAAAACATTAAATAAGACTGGCCCTAAGACTAATCCTTGAGGAACTCCACTAGTAACTTCCCTCCAGTCCAACAGTTCACCTTTCAGCACAACACACTCCCTTCTGCCAGTTAGCCAGTTTCTTACCCACCTTATAATTTTGTTCACTAATCCCTATCTTCTCTAATGTAACTAGTTTCCCATGTGATACCACAACAAATGCTTTACTGAAGTCCAACTATATTAACTGCATTTTCCTTATCTAAAAAATCATTAAACTTGAATCGGGGTACCCTATTTATCTTAGAGAACCACATTATTATTACAAACTGTGACATGAAACATAGAATTATAGGCTTTCTTTATGCACGGCGACTGTAATGGGGGTCGCATTCATCTCTTGCAAACGCCCCATGTCCAAGTGCATGTGACTGCATTCACTCTCTAAGTTTGTGGTGGGTCTATGGTGACTCAGCCCTCTGGCCAAGTCTCACACAGTCTGTACGTGAAATAAAAACCCCTTCTGGGAAAACAGTCCAACCGGGGGGACCTATCCCAGTACCCCTCAGTTGGCCTCTCTTTCCTGGTAGCCCTCCCTGGGCTCAGGCCCTTAATTAGTCCATCAGTCTTTAAAATGGCCTCGGCCCTGGTATTGAGCCGTACTCTAGGGCAGTGACTCTCAACCTTTCCAGACTACTGTACCCCTTTCAGGAGTCTGATTTGTCTTGTGAACCCCCCCAAATTTCATCTGTTAAACTACTTGCTTACAAAATCAGACATAAAAATACAAAAGTGTCACAATACTATTACTGAAAAACTGCTGTCATTTTTACCATATAATTATAAAATAAATCAACAAACTGTAAAATATTGTTCTTACATTTCAGTGTATAGTATGTAGAACAGTATAAACAAGTGATTGTATGAAATTTTAGTTTGTACTGACTTCGCTAGTGTGTTTTATGTAGCCTGTTGTAAAACTAGGCAAATATCTAGATGAGTTGATGTACCCCCTGGAAGATCTCTGCGTACCCCCGGCTGAGAACCACTGCTTTAAGGCTCTCTCCCTGGAGGCAATGTCCTCGCCTTCTCTGCCCTTTTGGGCCCCAGCTCTCCTGCTGGGGCTCTAAAAGAGTTCATTTCCCCTTATGGGATGCATCAAAGTCGAGGACACTTTCCTAGTGGATTCTGGGGGGGGACCCAGGCCCATTCTCTACTCCGGATCCCAGTCCAGGGAACCTAAAGATAGCAGCTGTCCGCCGTGCCCCTTTAACTAAGATGCGTTGCTGCTATGATTCCCTGGCCACTTCCCCACGGCCCAGCACGTTCTTCATCCTTACCTCAGGACCTTATCCTGGTTGAGTCTCAGCCACCAGCACAGAGCTCCTTCAGCCAGCCAGGCACACCATCTACGCTCCTCCAACTCCAGCAAGGAACTAGTCTCACTCTGGCCCTGCAGCTCTTCTTACACTAGACTGCTGGGCCCTGATGGGCTGCTCCCTGCAGCCCCTTTCTGATTGGCTGTTTCCCACACAGCCACTCTAAGCAGCTTGGAGGACCCTCTCCATAGCCCTTCTCTAGGGTGAGGTGTGGCAGGGTCGCGAGGTCTCAATCAGGGGGCATTAGGGCCTGCCACAGTGACCATACATCCTGTTTTTGCCAGGACAGTCCCATTTTTAAGCTCTGTCCCGGACATCATGACATTTTTGGTAAATCTGGGCATTTGTCCTATTTCCTCTGCGCCCCTGTGGGGTAAGATCAATGTTTGGGCAAGAGCAAACAGGACAAATGCCCAGTTTTGCAAAAAAAGTTGCAGCAGCCCCTCTGGCCAGTAGTGACGCCAGCCCTCTCAGGTCAGCGGCCCCCGCAGGGCTGGCCTGAGCCACCTGGTGTTGCCACTACCTTCAGAGCCAGGTGTCTGGCCAGCAGCCATCGCTTTCCAACAGCCCAGCTCTGAAGGCAGTGCCACCACCAGCAGCAGCACATAAGTAAAGGTGGCAATACACCATTGTCCCATTTTCAGTTTAGGGAAATATGGTCACCTTACCTTCGTGCAACAAATAGCACTTAAATTCATCCC